ATCCCGTTTTCGGAAGTTTCTTTAAAATGCAGTCGAGACATGCTTCTTTTGAAAAAGCCTGTTTCAAAAGAACCCTTCTTCCTAAAAAAATTAGGTTCCCAGGGTTCTTTCCAAAAAGGGGCTTTTTTTCTGAAAGAACCACATCTAGACTGCTTTAAAAAAAAACCAACTCTTCCAAAAATGGGATCGGAAAAAGTTGCCTCTCTTCTTTCAAAAGCTGTGGGCAGTTTAGATGTGCCCGTAGAAGGAAACACAGATTAGTCGTTCCCCCTGCACAAACACTCCTGATCTCTAATCTGAGCCGCGAACAGAGACTTGTGTCTCTACTGTGAGAGAGTCAGGGTGAAACCATCTCAGTGTGAGGTTATTGCTTAGCTCACAAAGGGCTGAGAGTAAACGAGTGTTAATCTCTCTATTCTCTTTGGGCAAGGGGAGCTCTGTGCCTTGGCATGTTGGCTTGGGGTGAAACTTGTGATAATGAAGCTCTTTGGCATCTGATAACGGCATTTACATTACTCTGTATGAAACCCCTGAGACGTATAGACAGGAAGGCACCAGCTTCTGTGACTAACTAACGGCCTATTTGTTCCAAGCAAATTTGTCATCCTTTAACTCAAGAGGGAAGAGCTGGGACTTCTATCAGAGACACTGTCCGTGTGGGTGTGTGACTGTAATGCGGGACAACAGGACAACAGCACGTACCTGCTGACAGCAGAGAGAGACGTGGCGGTGTTTCTCCATCGATAGAAACTGACACTTTGGTGCAACTGGGAAGTTTTATACTGAGATCTGTGATCTATGGGATGAGATCCCTGAAGCCACTGGGAATACCTGAGCTCAGAGAGACACAACAACAAATTAATTCACTCAGTGTATCTCAGCCACGGAGTTGATACTGTGGGGATTAATTTGGCACCTTCTTTCCCGTTGTGTCAGTAAGTGATGCAATTTCTATCAGAGTTGCAGAGTTGTAGCCAGAGGGATAGTTCATTCTGCTCTTGTCACCACAAGCTGGATCCTGCATAGAGCTGACTAAGAAAGGGCGTGTTTGTGCAGGCCAGCATCTTTCAGCTGGAAATTTAACATTTCAGCACAGAATCAAAACACACCGAGAGGCCCCAGGTACCACAGCCCACAGTTCTCTGCCATGGGCCTGGTTCCCAGGCTGGACTGCATCCCTCTGATGCATGATGGTCCGTCCTCCTGCGGAGCTGCCCCAGGACATAGCCGAAGTTCCCGTTCTTACCAAACTCTGACTGTGGGATTTGCTGTTGTGATGGGGAAAGACGTCCATGGAATTCTAATTGAAATGAAAATCCAATTTCCCACTTTAAAGAAATCTTAAAGAAAAAATTTCCAGCGGTTTTAGCACTAGGTTTGGAAAAAAAAGAACAAAAAGGCCCATCTCCAGATGTGGTCGGCCTGACTTCCAGTTTGGCCGGGGCAAGGACTGGTGCAGGAGCTGTGCATGATGGTGGAGATTTGAGAGAACGTGTTCCCTTGCTTCCCACGGTGATAGGGTGGAACTAGCTCGAAGCCCCCGACTGGACACTTATTGTTTTCCCACACTCTGCCCTACGGGAAAGAAGAGAGAGGTCCTCCAGGCAAGCTAGAGTGGCTGCTTCTGCTGCAGCCAATCAGGGCCCAGCATGACGGTATAAAGACGCTGCTTGACTAGGGCCTCAGGCAGGCCCAGGGACAGTCTGGGAAGGCAGCAATACCTCGGAGAGCTCTGAGGGGGGGCTGGTTTGCAGACTCAGCTGATGCCCAGGTCTAGTGGCTGAAGACCGGCTGTATTGGGCTACCGCGATTTGTAGAACCCCAGACAGGGTGCAGTCAGGACTTTATTTCAAAGTCTGGAAAGAGGACAAGAAGAGGGCAGCTTCTTGGAAGAGTGGCCCAGGGAGTAAGCAGCAGTGGGCAGTGAGGACACGTAGCAGGCTACTGCTATGTCTGGTGTCCCTGGGCCAGGATCCAGTGGTGTGGGTGGGGCCATATGCCCCCTCAGCTCTTTGTAGCTACAAAAGGTGTTAGGAAAGAAGCCTGGTCCCAGGAAACCCAGAAGAAAGGACATCTGGGACCTTTCCGCACCCAGAGCCAGTGGGAGGAGAGGAACTTGTGGACACACGTTCTTGACCAAAAGGGGGCGCTCCAGAGGGATGAGCCCTTTACATCCCCATTTGCTCCTGCTCCTCTTGCTCCTCATCCCTTGATACAGTGACCAAGACACAAAATGGAACCAGGGATGGGTGAAACTTTCCACAGACAGTGTTGGTCCCTTTTCTGGGAAAGCTTAGTTCTGGGGTCCAATTCTATCCATTTCCCCTTCTCCATGTTATGAAGTTCCCTGAACACCTGCTCTTCAGAGTCTACCATATTTTTCAAGTAACCCAAAGAGCAGAGAATCACCGTGAGCACGGTGATTCTGGGTGGGGGGTGGATTTTTTCCTGCTTATTTCACTTTTAGAAAGAACACCCTGTGACGTAGTGGGGGTACCTGGCTGGTTTCTATGCTGCTGGCTCTGGGGTAACCCGCACTGGCTGCCGTGGGTACCACGACCCAGCAAAACAGGATGAGTCACTATGCAAACCAGTGGCCAGACACCCCCCATGGAGAGGAACAAAGGAAGGTGGATGCTGCCCTGGCTGGGGGGCAGGGCTGGAAGAGGGTTAGTGAGTTGCTGTCTGTGAGGATGGAGGAGACAGCCTAGGGAAAGGGGCTGGAGTTTAGGGGCCCAGTCTCCCCCATCTCAAGGGGGCCTGAGGCATCCTAGCCCAGCTCTGTGACCAGATTCCATCTGTGCTGTGCTGTATCCTGGAGAGGCAATAAACTTCCTCTATTCCCCCAGCTGGTGCAGTCTGTTTGTGCCATTTCTGGGTGCAGGAGACGGGGGACCCCCAACCTGCCGTCACACACCCCAACCCTGAATGCCTTTTTTGGTATTCAGTTCAATTCAAACTGTCCACGAAGATGCCCACAAACAGCGTTCTTATCTGGAAACTTTACAATCGTTCCTTCTTGTTTTGTAGTTGTGTTAATCTAAAACATAGGCCATTCTCATGGAAGGCATCTTTCCACATTTGGTGCTTGGACAACACACCAGGCATACAGAAGAGGGAGATGGCTTAGGTGCCCCATTTCTCTGCCAACACAAAGCATTGCTTGCTTGCCAATCACATCGCATGTATCTATAAACGATCTACGGGTACTTTTATAACCCAACAGCCCCTTAGTGCCTACTGGCAGAGTCCAATATCATGTGAAGCAATCACCTGACACACTCCGGCTACGTCTACACTGGCACCCTTTTCTGGAAATGCTTAAAACGGAACAGTTTTCCGTTATAAGTATTTCCGGAAAAAGCGTGTCTACATTGGCAGGATGCTTTTCCGGAAAAGCACTTTTTCCGGAAAAGCGTCCATGGCCAATCTAGACGCGCTTTTCCGCAAAAAAGCCCCGATCGTCATTTTCGTGATCGGGGCTTTTTTGTGGAAAACACTACTGTGCTGTCTACACTGGCCCTTTCCGGAACAGTTTTCCAGAAAAGGACTTTTGCCCGAATGGGAGCAGCATAGTTTTTCCGGAAAAGCGGCTGATTTCTTACAGTAGATCGTCAGTGCTTTTCCGGAAATTCAAGGGGCCAGTGTAGACAGCTGGCAAGTTATTCCGGAAAAGCGGCTGATTTTCTGGAATAAGTGGCCAGTGTAGACACAGCCTCCATGCCTAATGTGTAGCTGGGATGATACAGATCTTCAAGAAAAACATGTAAGGTTTCAATTAAAAACGTATCAGACTGACCTTCAAAAGCCTGGTGTGACGGAACCGTCACAGAGCTCTGGCCAGGTACCCATAACATGCTCAAACTGTGAAACCAAATTGTCCATATAAAAACTGTTGGTTTGCCTTCGGAGGCTGGTTGAGACCAAGCCAGCTCCATCAAAGCTGAATGCTGATCAATACAAAGCTGGAACCTGTCTGATTCTCCTGAGTGTTGCTAAGGCTCAAACAGGTGTCCGAATTATGTGAATGAGCTTTACGCTCAGACTGTGCAATGCTTGTAAATTGCTCTCATCGTTAATCATTAATATGATGTACAGGCAGTCCCCGGGTTATGTACAAGATCGGGACTGTAGGTTTGTTCTTAAGTTGAATTTGTATGTAAGTCGGAACTGGTACATATTGTAGGGGAAACTCTAGGCAAACATTTCTCCAGAGCTCAGTTTTATTCTCCCACACCTCACTTCCCTCAGTCCTTTATTCTCAAGCTGAGGTGTCTGCTGAGAAAAGCCGCTCCGCGTCTCCCTGGTCTGCTGGGGGGAGCGCTAGCTTCTAGCTTCGCGTCTCCCTGGTCTGTTAGGACCCGGTTTGTAAGTAGGGATCCAATGTAACCCGGGGACTGCCTGTATAGCAGCTGCAGTACCACTGACATGTAGGTCAAAGGGGGCACCTTCCCCAGGGCCCAACAATTCAAAAAGGCCCACAGCTCCTGGCTCCCAAGTTATTTATAATGGAAAAAAGGTACCTGTCAATTGTAGGACTTCTGCTAATGTGACTACCAACATGGGCCGGAGATGTCCTATCCGCAGCTTTTAATATAACGATGTAGTGTTACATGCAGGAGAGCCTGGCTTTCAAATGTGACATCCAGTTAATGTCTTTGTTCAAGCCCAGGGAATCAGGGTCAGATTTGCAAAGGAATGCCAATCCCGAATTCTCTCTCTGGCTGTGTCCAGACTCAGGGGTTTTTTCGAAAAAAGTAGCCTTTTTTCGAAAAAACTTCCCCTGCGTCCAGACTCAAGCCACGTTCTTTCGAAATTAATTCGAAAGAACGCGGCTTTTCTTTCGATGGCGGTAAACCTCAATTTACGAGGAAGAACGCCTTCTTTCGAAAGTTCCTCTTTCGAAAGAAGGCGTTCTTCAATGTAAATAGGGCTTCTTCGAAAGAGAGCATCCAGACTCACTGGACGCTTTCTTTCGAAAAAGCAAGCCGCTTTTTCGAAATTTCTCCGTGCAGTTTAGACGCTCTCTTGCGAAAGAGGCTCTTTCGAAAGATGCTTTCGAAAGAGCCTCTTTCGAAAGAGGCTTGCAGTCTAGACATAGCCTCTGTGATTGGCTGCTGAAATTGACGTAGAAAAATTCCTATTTCCTGTTTTGGTGACATTCTAAGCATTCAAGTCTTAATGTGCTAAGTCTGAATATGTTTGATGCTGTATACGCTGCCAAACCATCTGGAAGTAGAAATAGATTTAGATGTTTGTGGTTATTATTGTGTTTGTAATTCTGGAGTAGCTATTGTAACGTAACAGAGAGAGAGAAGGTCATGATCTGTTCTTGTGAAATTCGTTTTGTATCCCTCGTTATGTGTGAGAGGAAGGAACATGTGGGAGATAAGTGTGAAGGCCACCAACGGACCAGAGATGCTAATGGGAGGATCCAACAGTGGACAAGATGGTGTTGCAGATTACTGAATTATCAATCTGCCCTCTTTGGATAACCCAGGACTCTGAGGGACAGGGTGAGCATTTATCAACTGGGACAAGATATTTGTGATCAAAACCAACTTTGCCTGGCAGAACAGAGAGGAGAAGGAGCAAGAGAAACCACTGGAGATAACAAACTTCCAGCAGAAAAACAGCATGGCAGTGCTAATCGTACTGATCGCAATGCAGGAAAACAGCTATAAAAAGAAGCTGCTTTGCCATAATTTTGGCAATACGTCCTGTCAAAGACTGGAGCATCGGTCCAGACCAATAGACCCCAGCTCCTCCTTTTGTGATCAGTCTTGTTGGTTCCAGAACATGGACTAGTAGATATAAAATCGATTGGTTGGACCGTGTGTGTGTCCGTGTACGCATATGCCAACTGCTTTGCCATTTTATTGTCAACAAATGTGGGATATTGCTTATTCCCCCTATAAAGATCCTATGTTCTTTTTAATGATCATAACACAATTGCTTTGTAGGAGAACGGCTACTTTTCAAATAAATAAAGTGATTTCTGTTATTTCGACTCCAGCTCATCATCTGAGGAGTTGGGTTTTGCCTATGAAAGTCCACAATAGGATACATTTGTGTTAGTCTTTAAGGAACCACAGGACGACTCATTTTGAACTACAATCAAGTGCTTAGAGGCACTATGTGGATGAGTATTTCAGCATGGAAAACAGAGCTACCTTTTCATACCTGTCCATAGGCACCCTGAATTAACAACTGTTTCTGAAACCACCGACTCTAGATAGTTTGACTGAGAAGAGGCAATTACATATTGTCCAGACTGGCAGATTTTCTTCTTTCAAACAATTCCTTCAGTCTTCAAGCAATGTCCTCATTGACCATGGAAAGTGACAATAAAGTCACAAACACAAGTAGTCATTTTTAAAACAATTTGTATTGATGGTGCAGAGAAGGACAGAGTAGCCCAGGTGTGCAGAATCTAGTTCCCTTTCCTGTGAGCATCAACAAACACTGGATTTGAACAGGGTTCAAGAAAGAACTAAATACATTCATGAGGTTAGGTCCATCAATGGCTTTTAGCCAGGATGGTGTGAAAGTAGAAAGAATTATAGTGTAAGAGAAAGATGAATTATCCTGTAATAATTGAATAAGTTGAAGGAACACTGTCTCTGAACAGGAAAGAGGAAATTATGTTAATGTTGTTAATGTTCTTTGTAGGTATGCAGATCAGAGTGCTAGCCAAGTATGCCTGGAGTAACAGGAAAAGGAAACATTTGGGCTGTGTCTAGACTGGCAAGTTTTTCCGCAAAATCAGATGATTTTGTGGAAAAACTTGCCAGCTGTCTACACTGGCCACTTGAATTTCCGGAAAATCACTGACGATCTCATGTAAAATCATCAGTGCTTTTCCGGAAATACTATGCTGCTCCCGTTCAGGCAAAAGTCTTTTTCTGAAAGACTTTTGCGCAAAAGAGCCAGTGTAGACAGTATAGTAGTGTTTTCCGCAAAAAAGCCCCGATCGCGAAAATGGCGATCGGGGCTTTTTTGCGGAAAACCGCGTCTAGATTGGCCATGGATGCTTTTCCACAAAAAGTGCTTGTGGAAAAGCATCCTGCCAATCTAGACGCAATTTTTCCAAAAATGCTTTTAACAGAAAACTTTTCCGTTAAAAGCATTTTTGGAAAATCATGCCAGTGTAGACGTAGCCTAGGTGTTAGGCAGAAAGTAATTGAAATAACCAGGGAGATATGGACAGGAGATTGCTGTGCTTAATATGGAAATGAAGATACTTGACTAGCCTCATACTAATCATGTGAAGTTTTGCCACCCTTTTAATCTTGTTAAGTTGGCTTTCTTTTGACTGTATAAATCAAGGGGTTTGAACCTTGTATGGTACTTACATTTTCTGGGTGTATTAGCAGAGCGGCTTTGCTAATAAACAGAGCGGTCAGGCAAATCTGTGAGTCCTGTGTCTAACTTTGACAATGGGTAGGAATGGTGTGCCTGGCCTCTGTTTGTCAGAGGCTGGAAATGGATGACAGGGGAGGGATCACTTGATGATACCCTAGTCTGTTCCCTCCCTCTGGGGCATCTGATATTGGCCACTGTCAGCAGACAGGACACTTGGTTCGATGGCCCTTTGGTCTGATCCAGTCTGACCATTCTCCTGTTCTTCTGACAATCTTATCAGATCTGGAATGTTGCCTATAAATGCTGAGATCCTCGGCTACGTCTACACTGGCCCCTTTTCCGAAAGGGGCATGTTAATTTCAGAAGCCGTAATAGGGAAATCCACGGGGGATTTAAATATCCCCCGCGGCATTTAAATAAAAATGTCCGCCGCTTTTTTCCGGCTTTTAAAAAAGCCGGAAAAGAGTGTCTACACTGGCCCCGATCCTCTGGAAAAAAAGCCCTTTTCCGGAGGGCTTCAATTCAAAAGTAGGAATAAGATCCTCCGGAACAGGGCTTTTTTTCCGGAGGATCGGGGCCAGTGTAGACGCTCTTTTCCGGCTTTTAAAAAAGCCGGAAAAAAGCGGCAGACATTTTTATTTAAATGCCGCGGGGGATATTTAAATCCCCCGCGGATTTCCCTATTACGGCTTCTGAAATTAACATGCCCCTTCCGGAAAAGGGGCCAGTGTAGACGTAGCCCTCATGTCTGGAGCTCCACTCCATTAGTCCATGGGTACCAAGCTATAGAAAGGGCTCTGAAATTCAGAGTGACAAAACTGTCCCATTGCCCAAGCACGGTGTGCTGGAAATCCCCTTTCTCCTCCGCAGTCCTGGACACAAAGAACCCCACAGAGGACAGAAAGGGCAGCAGAGTAGCAGGATGTTGAGCAAACTGCCTTTGGTTCACCCACACAAATCGCACACGTCACCAGTGGAACTGCCCAATGAAATCAACTCCAGCAGAGAGAAGAAAGAGCGAGATTTGACGCCCGCCTTCTTTCCCAATACAATCAGCTCCCAGCTTTCAAAGTAATCACATGCACATTTATGCGCACACAAAGGCAATTGCCGAATGCAGCCCTAATCTCAGCAGGGACCTGAAGCCCGTGCTGGAATACAGACACATGTATAATAACAAGATAATAATGACCAGTACCACTGCAGGCTGTGTGAAATGACATCGCTATGGGCTGAGAATTGAATTCTCCTGTTTCTGTCCCCCATCATTCAATCAACACTGGGCTGAACAGGTTCAGGAACTGCTCAAGAGTTTATTCATGGCTTTCCTAAAGGCATCCTTCACCTCCCTGTTCCTCAGGCTGTAGATGAGGGGGTTCAACATGGGGATCACCAGCGAGTAAAACACTGAGGCCATATTGTCTATGTCCATGGAGTAACTGGAGCTGGGTCGGAAATACATGAAAAGGAGGGTGCCATATAATATGACCACCGTAGTCAAGTGACAAGCGCAGGTGGAGAAGGCTTTGTACCGGCCCTTGGCAGAGCGGATCCGCAGGATGGTGGAGATGATACAGACATAGGAGAGGAGGATGGTCGCAACGCTGATCACTACAGTGTAGCACATGGAAGCAATTAACGCAATCTCAGTGGTGCGGGTGTCAGAGCAGGAGAGCGCCAGTAAAGCGGAGATGTCACAATAGAAATAATGAATGATGTTGGAGCGGCAAAATGAGAGCCAGAATGTACAACATGTGAGTATCAACGCATCCATCAACCCCACAGCGCACACCCCAGCCACAAGCTGGTCACAACGCTGCCGGGACATGGTGACCATATAGAGCAGTGGGTTACAGATGGCCACATAACGGTCATACGCCATCACAGCCAGCAAGACACACTCAATATCTGAAAGTAAGATAGAGAAAAACATTTGCACAGCGCAGGCCGTGTGAGAAATGCTTTTCCTTTCAGCAAAGAAATTCTGCAGCATCTTAGGGCCTTTTGCAGAGGAATAGCAGAGATCACAGAAAGACAAAGCCCGGAGGAAAAAGTACATGGGGGTGTGGAGTCGGGGATCAGTCGTTATTAAAAAGACCATCCCCCCATTCCCCACTATGGTGACAACATAAATCAGTAGGAACAACACAAACAGGGGGACCTGGAGCTCCGGATGATCTGTCAGTCCTGAGAGAATGAACTCAGTCGCCTCTGAGTGATTTCCCTCTTCCATCTCCTCTGAGCCGAGATCAGGCAGCTACAGGGATGTGGGCAGGCGGATGGTTCAGGAAACCTGTCCCTTCACTGTAAGGAAGTAAGTGAAGGAAAGTGGAGGTTGGTTTCTTAGTGTACCAGCACAAGGAAGGGCTTAGTCCAGAGAACCAGATATTCATAGCTGGTCATTCCACGTCTTTGATCAGTTTCACACACTGTCTAAGTGCAAGGACACACAGGTTAATCATGTCCCCACTCACACGCGTGTGCGCTCGCGCACACACACACACACACACACACACACACTCCTGTTCTCTAATCTGAGCAGTAAACAGTGACTTGTGACTTTGAGATAGTTTCACCCTGATTCTCTCACAGAAGTGTGACGAGATGATTCCTTAGTTCAGGAAGGGATGAGAGTAAACCAGTGTCAATCTCGCTACGCTGTTTGGACAAGGGGAGCCCTGTCGCTTTGGGGTGAAGCTTGCTCACTGTGCTAATTAAGCTTTTTGGCATCTGATAGCGGCATTTACATGAGTCTGTATGAAACCCCTGAGACACAAAGGAAGGCATTGACTATGTAATTGCTTCTTTTTTTCCACCCACATTTCTCATCTCAGACAAACTCAGGAGGAAAAAGTACAAAGGGGTGTGGGGTTGGGGATCAATTGTGATTAACAAGATCACCCCCTTGCTCCACACCAGCATGATAACATAAACCAGGAGGAAATCCCCCCTGCCCAAAGAGTGGAGCCTCGAACTTTGGATGATCTCTCAGTCCTGAGAGAATGAATTTAGTCACCTCCGAGGGATTTCCCTCTGCCATCTCCTCTGAACCGAGATCAGCTACAACTGTCATGAACTAAGTGGAGGGAAAAATGGAGATCACTTTCTTAATTGCTGGCCGTACTACATCAGGGAAGCACTTAGTCCATAGAGCACATTGTACATCTACAAGGACAGGCAGGTTAATCAACACACACACACACACACACTCCTGTTCACTAATCCAATCAGGAAACAGATACTTGTGACACTGCTGTGGGAGAATCAGGGCAAAACCATCTCAGTGTGACCAGAGATCATTGCTTAGCTGAAGAAGGGCTGAGAGTAAAAGAGTGTTTACTCACTTCATCCACAAATTCAATTCACATGCTAACGGACTCAATGGAGATATGCACACACACACACACACTCCTGTTCACTAATCCAATCAGGAAACAGATACTTGTGACACTGCTGTGGGAGAATCAGGGCAAAACCATCTCAGTGTGACCAGAGATCATTGCTTAGCTGAAGAAGGGCTGAGAGTAAAAGAGTGTTTACTCACTTCATCCACAAATTCAATTCACATGCTAACGGACTCAATGGAGATATGGGCTGGCTAGGACACTACCTATTTCATAACCACTGAAGGTGCTAACAGCTCTGTGAGCGGTAGCCTTCCTGTCTTAGCATCTATCTATTTACTTTGATCTGCTTAGGTTTAAGTACCCATTCTCCAGATACTTAATGATGCCCTGTCTCACACACCCTTCCTTTTTCCTTCTGTTCTTTTTCTCCCCCCTCTCCTTCCCCTCTCCTATTTATTTTGAGTTTTCATATCCCCTACTCATAACTCCAGTCATCTGAAGAAGTGGGCTGTGCCCACGAAAGCTCATGATACCATCTACGTGGTTTTTTAGTCAATAAAGTGCTACCAGATCATCTGTTGGTTTTTTTTGTTTTTGTTTTAATCTCTCCTTTAGCAAGGGGAGCTCTGTGGCTGCCATGTCACTGTGCTAATTAAGCTCTTTCCAATCTCATACATTACTCTGTATGAAACCCCCGAGACATAAAGGAAAGCTGCAGTTTCTGTGACTACACAATCGCCTGTTTTTTTCCAACCAAAGGTGTTGTTCCTTTAGCTCAATGGATAAGAACTGGGATTGAGGCTTTTAATGCTTGAGGACTTCAATTCCGTGCCTGCCCATCACCATGCTGTCTGTACGGGTGTGTGACTCTGATACAGGACAACAGCACGTACCTGCTGGCAGCGGAGAGAGACGTGGCGATGTTTTTCCATTGATAGAAGCTGACACTTCGGTGCAGTTGGGAGGTTTTATACTGCGATGTGTGATCTGTGAGACAAAATCCCTGGAGCCACTGGGAATACCTGAGCTCAGAGAGACACAACAACAAATTAATGACCTCAGTGAATCTCAACTATGGAACTGATGCCCAAGGGATTAATTTGGTACCTCTTTCCTCTGGTATCAGTAAATGATCAGAGTTGCAGAGTCCAAGCCTGAGGGATATTTCATTCTGCTCTTGTCACTGCAAGCTGGGTCCTGTATAGAGCTGGGCCAGAAAGGGTGTGTTTGTGGAGACCCACATCTTTCAACTGAAAGCTTAATATTTCAACTCAGAAACAAAACACACAGAAATGCCCCACGTATCATATCCCATCCTTCTCTGCCGTGGGCCGGGCTCTCAGGCTGGACTCCATCCCCTCTGGTGCATGATGGTCTCTCCTGATGCGGAACTGCCCTTGAACATCACTAGAGTTCCCGTTCTCGCCAAACTATGAGTGTGGGATTGGCTTTTTTTGAAGGAAAACTAGATTTTCATGCAAATCTAGTTGAAACGAAAATCCAATTTCCCACGTTAAAAAAATCTTTGAAGGAATCTGTGAAGGAAGCCAGCCTGAGCACCAGGTTTGGAAACAAAAGAACAAAAGGTCCCATCTCCAGATGTGGTCGGCCTCACTTCCAGTTTGCCAGGGGCAAAGACTGGTGCAGGAGGTGCACATAATGGTGGACATTTGGGGGAGTGTTACCCCTTGCTTACTCCCTGTGGCATGGCCCAAAACCTCCTGTGGGAGGCTTGTGGCCTGGCCACAAGAATTTGGCAACGAGAATTTACTTTTTTCATAGAAAAGAATTCCAAAAAAAACCAGTTGAAATGAAAACCAATTTCCCTAAAAAAAAAACATTGAAAAAAAATCCAGCCAGCCTCAGCCCTAGGTTTGGAATCAAAGGAACAAGAAGGCCCGTCTCTAGACATGTTGGGTGTAATTTCTACCTTGGCCGGGGCATAGACTGGTGCCAAAGCTGCCAACGATGGTGGAGATTTGGACGAGCACATGCCCTGGTTCACCTCTGCCCCTTCAAGGCCAGGTGAACTAATCCCATAGCCCCTGGCTGGAAGTTTGTGAACTTGCCACATCCCACCCCAGGGCAAACAGCAGAGGAGAGGTCCTCCAGACAAGCTAGAGGGGCTGCTTCTTCTGCAGCCAATTAGGGCCCAGCAAGCTGGTATAAAGAAGCTGTTGCTAGAGCCAGACTGGTTCAGACAAAGGTCCATCTAGCCCTGTCTTCCAACAGTGGCCAATCCCAGGTGCCCCAGAGGGAGTGAACAGAACAGGGTATCATCAAGTGATCCCTCCCCTGCCGCCCTTTCCCAGCCTCTGACAAACAGAGGCTAGGGACGCCATCTCTGCACATCCTGGTTAATAGACATCGATGGACCTAACCGCCATGAATCTATCGAGTTCTTTTCAGAACCCTGTTAAAGTCCTTGTCTTCACAATGTTGGTTTGCCTTGGGTGGCAGGAAGGTCACCAGCCAACTCCATAAGGTGGAACCCGTCTGGCTCTCCCATGTGTTGCCAAGGTTCAACTAGGTATTAGAATGATATGACTGTATTTGAAATTCAGACTTTATGAAATGCTTGTATGTTGCTGCCAGCATTCATATCACATATAGCACCTGCAGTGGCACGGATGGGGAGGGAAAAGAGGGCATCTTCTCCGGGGTCTGGTAATTCAGAAGGGCCCACGTAGCCTGGAAGCCTATATCTTGCTTCCAGCGTATTTACTCTCTGAGGGTATGTCTACACTACCCCGCTAGTTCGAACTAGGAGGGTAATGTAGGCATACCGCACTTGCAAATGAAGCCCGGGATTTGAATTTTCCGGGCTTCATTTGCATAAGCTGGGCGCCGCCATTTTTAAATCCCGGCTGGTTCGAACCCCATGCAGCGCGGCTACACGGGGCTCGAACTAGGTAGTTCGAACTAATCCACGAGGAGTAACGGTAGTTCAGACTAGGAAGCCTAGTTCGAACTACCTAGTTCGTGCCGCGTGCAGCCGCGCGGCACGGGGGTCGAATATGGACCAATTGGTTGGTCCATAACCAGTTTGTAAGTCGGGGAGAGGCTATATAGCACCTGCAGTGGTACAGATGAGGAGGGCAAAGAGGGCACCTTCTCCAGGGTCTGGCAATTCAGAAAGGCCCATGTAGCCTGGAAGCCTATATCTTGCCTCCAGCGTGTTTATTCTCCTAGCATTTTAACTGTTTTACTCTGTTTTAGCAGTAATGCAAGGCCTACAGAAATTGTGTTTCTGTAAGAAGTTAGCTTTGGCAATAGAGCAGGTTATAAGCAAGAAGTTCAGAATATAGTGTTAAGCTATAGCTTATTAGCGTGTGTGGAAATTGACCGTCTTGTTGATAAGGCCAGTTCAAAACCATAAAGGGGGCCAGAGCAGAAGCCTAGAGCAAAACTATATGCTAGACATCCTGTTATTTGTATGATAAGATCAGAGAGACCCAAAAAATGTAGGTGGGATGTCCTATTTGACCAAGAGAGGCCGGGGTGGACAACATCTAGTCATTTTTAGAATTTTCTGCATCTTGCCCATTTTTCCATTTGAGATGTTTTCTCCCCAGTCAAATGTGTGAACCCTCAAATCTTAAGGTACGGAAATCTGTTTTTGGTTTGGCTATTGGTGACATAAAAATGCCAGTAAAAATGCTACAAATGTTCTGCCCGAGGTTGACAGCTCTCTAGATATACACATGGGTATGTCTAGACTACAGGGTTTTTTCCAAAATAATGGCCTTTTTTCAAAAAAATTTTACCTGCATCTAGACTGCCATCGCCTTCTTTCGAAATTAAAGAGAAAGAATGCTGCGTATTTTTCAACAGCAGAATACCTCCTTTTATGAGAAAGAACGCCTTTTTTCGAAAGTGCTCTTTTGAAAAAAGGAGTTTTTGAATGCAAACTGTGCTTTTTCGAAAGAGCTTCCAGATTGCCTGGGTGCTCTCTTTCGAAAAAGTGGATTGCGTTTTCGAAAGTTGTGTGGCTGTCTAGATGATCTCTTTCAAAAGAGGCTTGTAGTCTAGACGTACCCAGAGAAAGTGTGTGTATCTTTATGTTGCATTTTCATTTATGTTGTGACTTGAGGTGATCGTATCCAATTATGGCCCCGTTGCCTTAATTCTCTTATTGTGTATAATTGTAACATTCTTTACATTAAAATTACTCAGTTTTTATTGTCAACAGTGTACACATCTTTGATGCTGCAGTTCCCGAAATCTGCCACCTGTTGCCTGACATGGAGCTGTCCGACTCTTAATTTCTGTGGCTGGGGTGGAGCACAAACCTTGAAACATTCTGGTCAGACTGGGCCATAGCCAATTCCTAACAAAACTCTGGTCTACAGGCTGGTGAGCCAGCCAGGAGATTTTGAGGTATCTGCAGCCACATTTACCTGTGGAAAAAGGATTTTTTCTATGTTTTGGGGTGTAGGAGTAGTTAGAAATCATATGAACCCCTGTGATTTGTCATCCTGTGACAAGTGCCAGGGAAGCAAGCGCCTAGCCATACTTCCTCCTCTCGTTTGTTGGTTTAGCTCTTTGGTCGAATGACTAGAATGAGAGTAGTAGACGAATAACCGCTTCCTGGTGTGACTTATTGGGCAACTCCCCTGGGACAAGACCCTAAGGTGGGGTAGAACCCTGTTACTCCTGGACCCCAAGATAGGGTCTTCAGATGCCCATACTTCTTGGCTTTCAAAGGAAGAGAAAGACTATATCCTTTGCTCCTTCTTCTTTGGGACTTATTTCAAAAAGTCTGTGGCCGGTCTGAGGTATCTTTTGTTTCTCTGTCCATAAAGAGGGGATCTTCGGACTAGAGATTGTGTACCAGCTCTACAGCTTTATTGAGTCACGTTTTATCTTTAGTGCAGGTGTGAGTTACCTATGAAAAGAGATCGGTAAAGAGAGATAATGACTGAACTAGAGAAGGAAGAGAGGATACAGGCGTCTCATAGGATGCAACTGGAATTGTACATAAACCTTTATGTGCTGACACTGGGGGTGGTTTAGGGAGCTTAAGAAATGTAGGGACACTGAGGGACTCTGGGGACCCGTGAGGTTAGATACATCAAATATGGGAGGTGGAAGAAGGGAGGAAAGATAGAAAATCCCGTTATTGTCCAGACTGGCAGATTTTCTTCTTCAAACAATTCCTCCAGTCTACAAGGAATATCCTCATTGACCATAGAAAGTAAAAATAAAGTTGCAAACACAAATGCTTATTTTCAAAACCATTTGTATTGACAGTGAAGAAAAGGACAGGGGAGCCCAGGAGTGCAGAATCTGTTTCCCTTTCCTGTGAGCATCAGCAAACACCGGAGCATCTTATCCGTTCTGTAATATTCCCTACAGATGCGGAGCTCCCCATGTCTGGGAATGGGGAGGCTCCATTCCCTTAGCGCACTGGAACCGATCTATAGAAAAGGGCTTTGAAATGCAAAGCTCTACACACCAGTGACATCACTCTCCCATTGCCCTAGCACGGTGTGATGGAAATCACCTCTCTCCTCCTCGTGCCTGGACACAGATCAGGTGGCAATAGATACAAGAACCCCACGGAGGACAGAAAGGGCTGTAGAGTAGCAGGAAGCTGCACAGACTCCCATTGGTTCACCCACAGAAATCACACATGTCACTCTTAGAACTACCCGATGAAATCAACACCGCTAGTAGAAAGAGGGAGCTACATTTGATGCCCCTCTTCTTTTGCAATACCAATCGGCTCCTTGATTTCAAAGCGAATCACATAGATTTTTATGCACACACAGAGGCAATAGCCGAATGCAGCCCTGATTTCAGGGGGGACCTGCAGCCCTTGTTACAATACAGACACATGTATAATAACAAGATAATAATGAACAATACCACCACGGGCTGTGTGAAATGACATCGCTAGGGGCGGGGAATTGAATTCACCTGTTTTCACTGTCCATCACTCAACCAGCACTGAGATGAATGAATTCAGGAGTTGGTCAGGAATTTATTTATTACTTTCCTCAGTGCGTCTTTCACCTCCCTGTTCCTCAGGCTGTAGATGAGGGGGTTCAACATGGCGATCACCAGCGTGTAAAACAATGAGCCTATTTTGTCCGTATCCACGGAATAGCTGGAGTTGGGACGTAAATACATAAAGATCTGGGTGCCATGAAATATGGCCACCGCGCACAAGTGGGAAGCGCAGGTGGAGAAGGCTTTGCACCGGCCCTCGGCAGAGCGGATCCGCAGGATGGTGGAGAAGATAAAGACATAGGAGAGGAGGATGGTCACAGCGCTAAGCACTATAGTGTAGCACATGGAAGCAAATAACGTAATCTCACAGGTGCGGGTGTCAGAGCAGGAGAGGGCCAGCAGTGGGGGGAAGTCACAGTAGAAATGCTTGATGACGTTGGTACGGCAGAATGACAGCCGGAATATACAACACGTCAGTATCACGGAATCCACCAACCCCACAACACACACCCCGGCCACCAACAGGTCACAAAGCCGCCTGGACATGGTGACGGTATAGAGCAGTGGGTTACAGATGGCCACATAACGGTCATAGGCCATCACAGCCAGCAAGAGACACTCAACATCTGCAAGAAGGTTGGTGAAAAACAATTGCATAGCGCAGGCAGGGCGAGAAATGCTTTTCCTCTCCGATAAGAAATTCTGCAGCATCTTAGGACAGCTGACCGAGGAATAGCAGAGATCACAGAAAGACAAACTCCGGAGGAAAAAATACATGGGGGTGTGGAGTCGGGGGTCAATCGTGATTAAGAAGATCATCCCCCCGTTGCCCACCAGAGTGATAACATAAACCAGGAGGAACACCAAAAACAGGGGGAGCTGCAGCTCCGGACGATCTGTCAGTCCTGTGAGAATGAACTCAGTCACCTCCGAGTGATTTCCCTCTTCCATCTCCTCTGAGCCGAGAGCAGGCAGCTTCAACCTGCCCCTTCACTTTAATGAATAAGCGAAGAAAATTGTAAGTCACTTTCTTAATAGGCAGCAGTACCAGCACAGGGAAGGGTCTAGTCCACAGAGCCAGATGTTTCTAACCGCTTATTCCATTTGTTTGATCAATTTCATATTGTACAACTACAAGGCTATGTAGGTTAATCACCACCACCCCGCCACACACACACAGAAACACACACACACACTCCTGGTCACTGATCCGAGCAGCAAACAGTGACTTGTGACACTGCTGTGGGAGAATCAGGGTAAACACCATCTCAGTGTGACAAGATTATTGCTTGGCTCAAAAAGGGGTGAGAGTAAACGAGTGTCGAGCTCTCCACCCTCTTTGGGAAAGGGGAGCTCTGTGGCTCAGCATGTGTGTTTGGGGTAAAACTTGCTCACTGTGATAATTAACCGTAACCCTTTCCAAATTGATAATGGTATTTACATTACTCTGTATGAAACCCCAGAGACATAAGGAAAGGCACCAGTTTCTGGGACTATACAATCGCCTGATTTTTCCAACCACATGTCTTGTTTCTTTAGCTCAATGAGTAAAAGCTGGACCTGAGGTTCTTGATGCTGGAGGATGTCAGTTCAGCACCTGCCCATCACCATGATGTCTGTGTGGGTGTGTGACTCTGATGCAGGCCAACAGCACGTACCTGCTGACAGCAGAGAGAGACCTGGCGGCCTTTCTCCATCGACAGAAACTGACACTTCAGTGCAATTGGGAATTTTATACTGAGATCTGTGATCTATAGGGCAGGATCCCTAGAACCACTGGGAATACCCGAACTGAGAGACACAGACGCTAATTAACGAGCTCAGTGAATCTCAGCCATGAATCTGATACCCTGGGGATTAATTTGCTACCCTCTTTCCCCCTGTGTCAGTAAGTGATGCAATTTCTATCAGAGTTGCCGAGTCCACACCTGAGGGATATTTCATTCTGCTCTTGTCACTGCGAGCTGGGTCCTGTGTAGCGCTGGGCCAGAAAGGGTGTGTTTGTGGAGACCCACATCTTTCAACTGAAAACTTAATATTTCTGCTCAGAAATAGAACACACAGAGATGCTCCAGGTGGCACATCCCACCCTTCTTTGCCATGGGCCCGGCTCCCAGGCTGGACTCCATCCCCTCTGGTGCACAATGTTGTACTCTGATGCGGAACTGCCCTTGGACATCATTAGAGTCCCACAGTTACAGTTTGGTAACAAGAATTTACTTTTCCATGAAATACCAGTTGAAATGAAAACCAACTTCCCTTAAAAATACATTGCCCCCACCCCCCCCAAAAAAAAGTCCAGCCAGCCTCAGCCCCAGGTTTGGAATCAAAGGAACAACTGGTCCCATCTCTATACCTGTTGGGCATAACATCCATCTTGGCCGGGGCAAGGACTGGTGCCAATGCTGCAAACTATGGTGGAGATTTGGACAAGCATGTGCCCTGGATCACCCCTGTCCTTCCAAGGCCAGGTGAACTAATCCCAAAGCCCGCTGCTGGAAGTTTTTGAGCTTGCCACATCCCGCCCCAGGTCAAGGAGCAGAGGAGAGGTCCTCCAGGCAAGCTAGAAGGGCTGCGTCTTCTGCAGCCAATTAGGGCCCAGCAAGCAGGTATAAAGAAGCTCCTCGTCCAGGTCCCGACAGCTCCTTAACCTAACAATGGCCAGACTGGGTCAGACCAAAGGACCATCTAGCCCAGGGTCCTGTCTTCCAACAGTGGCCAATGCCAGGTACCCCAGAGGGAGTGAACAGAACAAGTGATCCCTCCCCTGTAACTCATTCCCAGCATCTGACAAACAGAAGCTAGGGACACCATTCCTACCCATCTTGGCTAATAGCCATTGATGGACCTAACCGCCATGAATTTATCGAGTTCTTTTTGGAACTCTGTTAACGTCCTTGTCTTCACAATGTTGGTTTGCCTTGGGAAGCAGGCAGGTCACCAGCCCACTCCAGAAGGTGTAACCCGTCTGGCTCTCCCATGTGTTGCCATGGTTCAGCTAGGTATTAGAATGATATGAATTTATTTGAAGTTCAAACGTTATGAAATGCTTGTATGTGGCTGCCAGCATTAATATTACATACAGCCAGTCCCCGAGTTGCGAACGGTCAACTTATGACTGTTGGCATTTATGACCGAAGCTGTCGTAAATGGTGAACCCCGAGTTACGAATGCAATCCACGCTTATGAACAGAGCGGTCGTGTGTAACACTATGGAGTCCGACTTATGAATAAACCAAGTTATGGACCAATTGGTTGGTCCATAACCAGTTTGTAAGTCGGGGAGAGGCTATATAGCACCTGCAGTGGTACAGATGAGGAGGGCAAAGAGGGCACCTTCTCCAGGGTCTGGCAATTCAGAAAGGCCCATGTAGCCTGGAAGCCTATATCTTGCCTCCAGCGTGTTTATTCTCCTAGCATTTTAACTGTTTTACTCTGTTTTAGCAGTAATGCAAGGCCTACAGAAATTGTGTTTCTGTAAGAAGTTAGCTTTGGCAATAGAGCAGGTTATAAGCAAGAAGTTCAGAATATAGTGTTAAGCTATAGCTTATTAGCGTGTGTGGAAATTGACCGTCTTGTTGATAAGGCCAGTTCAAAACCATAAAGGGGGCCAGAGCAGAAGCCTAGAGCAAAACTATATGCTAGACATCCTGTTATTTGTATGATAAGATCAGAGAGACCCAAAAAATGTAGGTGGGATGTCCTATTTGACCAAGAGAGGCCGGGGTGGACAACATCTAGTCATTTTTAGAATTTTCTGCATCTTGCCCATTTTTCAATTTGAGATGTTTTCTCCCCAATCAAATGTGCGAACCCTCAAATCTTAAGGTACGGAAATCTGTTTATGGTTTGGCTATTGGTGACATAAAAATGCCAGTAAAAATGCTACAAATGCTCTGCCCGAGGTCGATTGTTCTCTAGATATACACATGGGTATGTCGAAAAAAGTTCACCTGCATCTAGACTGCCGTCACCTTCTTTCGAAATTAAATAGAAAGAATGCAGTGATTTTTTCAACAGCAGTAAACCTTATTTCATGAGGAAGAACGCCTGTTTTCGAAAGTGCTCTTTTTAAAAAAGACGTTTTTCAATGCAAACTGCTTTTTTGAAAGAGCTTCCTGATTGCCTGCGTGCTCTCTTTCGAAAACGTGGATTGCTTTTTCAAAAGTCATGTGGATGTCTGGACGATCTCTTTCGAAAGAGGCTTGTAGTCTAGACGTACCCAGAGAAAGTGTGTGTATCTTTATGTTGCATTTACATTGATGTTGCAACTTGAAGCGATAGCATCCAATTATGCGCCTGTAGCCTTAAGTCTCTTATTACGTGTAATTGTAACATTCCTTACATTAAAATTACTCAGTTTTTGTTGTCAACAGTGTACATGTCTTTGACGCTGCGGTTCCCAAAATCCACCACCTGTCGCCTGACATGGAGCTGTCCAACTCCTAATTTCTGTGGCTGGGGTGGAGGACAAACCTAGAAACATTTTGGTCAAACTGGGTCCACAGTAAATTCCTAACGAAACTCTGGTCTACAGGCTGGTGAGCCAGCCAGACGATTTTGAGGTATCTGCACCCACATTTACCTGTGGGAAAAGGATTAGTTAGAAATCATATAGACCCTGTGACTAGTCACCCTGGGACAAGTGCCAGGGAAGCAAGAACCCAGCCATATTTCCTCCTCTCGTTTGCTGGCTTAGCTCTTTGGTTGAGTGACTAGAATAAGAGTAGTCGAAGAAGAACCACTTCCTGGTGTGACTTATTGGGCAACTCCCCTGGGACACGACCCTGAGGTGGGGTAGAACCCTGTTACTCCTGGACCCCGGGATAGGGTCTTCAGATGCCCATACTACTTGGCTTTCAAAGGAAGAGAAAGATTCTACCCTCTGATCCTTCTCCTTTGGGACTTACTTTAAGAATTCTGTGGCTGGTCTGAGGTATCTTTCATTTCTCGTTGACCATGGAAAGAAAAAATAAAGTTGCAAACACAAATGCTCATTTTCAAAACAATTTGTATTGACGGTGCAGAGAAGAACAGGGGAGCCCAGGAGTGCAGAATCTGTTTCCCTTTCCTGTGAGCATCAGCAAACACCGGAGCATCTTATCCATTCTGTGATGTTCCCTACAGATGCGGAGCTCCCCATGTCTGGGAATCGGGAGACTCCACTCGCTTAGCGCACTGGAACCGATCTATAGAAAGGGCGTTGAAATGCAAAGCTCTACACATCAGCAACATCACTCTCCCATTGCCCTAGCACGGTGTGATGGAAATCACCTCTCTCCTCCTTGTGCCTGGACACAGATCAGGTGGCAATAGATACAAGAACCCCACGGAGGACAGAAAGGGCTGTAGAGTAGCAGGAAGCTGCACAGACTCCCATTGGTTCACCCACAGAAATCACACATGTCACTCTTAGAACTACCCGATGAAATCAACACCGCTAGTAGAAAGAGGGAGCTAGATTTGATGCCCCTCTTCTTTTGCAACACCGATTGGCTCCTTGTTTTCAAACATAGATTTTTATGCACACACAGAGGCAAGAGCCGAATGCAGCCCTGATTTCGGGGGGACCTGCAGCCCTTGTTACAATATAGACACATGTATAATAACAATATAATAATGAACAATAACACCACGGGCTGTGTGAAATGACATCGCTAGGGGCGGGGAATTGAATTCACCTGTTTTCACTGCCCACCACTCAACCAGCACTGAGATGAATGAATTCAGGAGTTGGTCAGGAGTTTATTTATTACTTTCCTCAGCGCGTCCTTAACCTCCCTGTTCCTCAGGCTGTAGATGAGGGGGTTCAACATGGCGATCACCAGCGTGTAAAACAATGAGGCTATTTTGTCCGTATCCATGGAATAGCTGGAGTTGGGACGTAAATACATGAAGATCTGGGTGCCATGAAATATGGCCACCGCGCACAAGTGGGAAGTGCAGGTGGA